CTGTGCTTTAAAAGGAACTTAGAACATGCTTCAGAACATTTTAGGATGCTTTTGCTGGTGAATATAGCTTTGCTTGTAAATTAATCTATGCTAACTGCTCAACAGCTCAATGTTTCTTTATTCTCCCTACAATCATTCCTTAATCTGGTCAACAAATGTGTTATACTGTTAGCACTTCTTTCAAAACTCCATTTGAAATCCATGTTCTTTCTTTTGTAGTAAATGTTCTTTGTTTAACTATTTGGCAAATTTATATTAGGTTTTCAAATGATCTGAACGTGGGCAAAGCAAAATGTCAATTGTGTAATCTTGGATGCTTTTAAGAAATCCATACTTTCTCCTGCACCTTCTTCTACATATCATGTTTTTCTACCTCCTAAATGTCCAGTGTCATTAGCTACTATTCCCTGGCAGCAGCAGAAGAACCTGTATTCAGAAAGTCCATTTGTGAATTCCTTTTCTATCCCCATCTTTATCCTTTTCTTTTCCCATCTTTAATAGACACTTGCAGAGGCTACATGGCTATTCACATATTCCTGGGAAGTTCAATGGAAAGATATATTAATGGAGAAAGGGAGAGACTCTCATGAATCTGTGCTGAAAATTTAATTCAATTTCTTTACCATGTATCCAGCTTCATAGCCAAGAAGGCCTCAAGAAATTTCTCAGAATCAGTAGTCTAGCAGTGTAGTAAATAAGCTTAGACAGATGTATATGGTTGTTACTTTTCTGTGTTTTCCCTCCTAAAACTGTTTTTTCTTATTTTTGCAATTATCTGTGATTGTGAAAAATCTGCATGAAAAATTGTATTTTGACGCTATTTAATAAAATTGTACATATTTCTAAAATGATTTGGAAGAAATGCTTATCCACTTTGCACAAGGGCATCATCTCTCCAGTATTTGTCAATGGAAACTGCCTTTTTCAGACTTTTTTTTACAAGAGTCACATTAACTTTAATGAGTTGATTTCTTAAAGGGCCTGTAATTTTTTTGTTCAGACTCAAACAGAAACCTGAAAAAAGATGAGCTGCTTTAATGAACACCAAAGAAGTCCCGTGCTCATGCAAATTTTGAAGCAGTTATTTTTCACCACTTTCGATATATGGATAGACCTACTGCTAAAGATTTATTTTTAATTCTAGTTCCTCCCAAAATAAATATATCTGTTTTCTCTCAATAATCCACAATATAACATTCTAGAAGCAGTTTCTATCAAATCACATACTCATTGATTTTGGTTTGGTTTTGGCTGAGAACTACATCACAACTTTCAAAGGAATGTGAAATTCAACAGCTTGTGATACTCTGAACCTCCCAAGAGTTCCAAGAATTTATTCCTCTCTGGCATTCTAATGCTGAACCTCACAATCTGGAAAAATTAGTATGATTGAAATGCTAATACACTAGACAAGTTCACCAAAGAATGTTTTCTGAATTTTAAAAAAACTGGAAAAGAAACCTCTGAAAAAGTTTCTGTTCCTTTG